ACATACTATACAGCGTATATTCTTACACCACAATCGATGGCACATCGGTCTGATCATAGATTGCGTATGACGTTTACCTTTCACATGTCTCATAGGCACACAATTTTTGGTGGGAGCTAAAACAGTCGGAATTGAGACGATTACGTAGTGGCATTATGTTGCAAGAGTAAAAGCGGAGGTGACGCTTTGTTCGCCCACGGAAACAAACTAATTGAACGTTTTCCTCTGATCCATTAGATTGGAAATTTTGCTACTCGCTCTGAATCCAGCTTAATTAAAAGTGGGTTCTGACCTGAAAATGAAGAGATTGATCAAGTCGGTATGCACATTAGGCCAGTCTAGAAAAACAAAGAACTCAGCCTAATGATGTAAAGTATTTTGCGTAGGTCACTCGCGTCTGTACACCTTCAGATAGGATTGGAAAACACTACTCGGTGATAAAATCTACGGCGGCAAACCAGGTCTTGTGGATGCATACACAAAGTTTATTTTGGAAACGACCCCTAAGGCAGTAAATCGACTTTCTTAATGTGAAACGAGACTGATCAGTGCAAGTTTTGACTGGCACGGACTCCGTGGCTTGGATACATCTGTCAAAATATCACACTGCGTTAGCAATGTAAAATTCTGAACTCACTGCTTCACAACACTGGTTTTCAAGCTATTAAGTACAACCCGCACTTTTAGCTCTGTGCATGATACCACCGGCCTATTAATTTATGTGCAGTACCTGAACAGTGAAAGTCCACAAGCAAAGTAAAACACATTTTTCTGTGTAATAATGTAAAAATTGATGTATTAGGATACTTTCAAGAGAGGCAATCCTCCTGGGCAAAACACATGAGCATCTCCCTTTAGGAGTGATTCAGTGTACGACCTTGTTGAACAACAGCAGAATATCTCGTTGGCAATGGTTTTTCGAAAGCACTGTGTGTAAATGGTCACTTCGATGTTTGGATTCTGTAAATGAATGTCAGCCAATAAACATCAGGCCAATAGTCAACAAGACGACTTTTAAGAGCCTGATTTAAGAAATGTGGAGAGAGTTTCGCCCTTCAGAAGGACGAACTGTGCTGAATCTTCTTTGCCGACCACGGTAATGGAATCCAGAGTCGCATGGTCTGATTTTATTCAGCAGACAGCGTTTACGTAACTCTTTTATTGCTCTCTCCAACGGTGATTTCTCATTGTCTTTTTTAAAACAACACCTTGTGAACGCATCGGAGAAGTGGTCAGGTTTTTAAATGCTTTCCGTTATAATAGGTCACAAGGCGGTTATCATGGACATATTGAGGACAACCTTCGTTATCAATTGCACTCAGTGAGTAATCAGTAACTACGACAAAGTTGTACTAAATGCTTCGTGATTTTGCTGATGATAACCTCATATGTCTTTGAGTAGTAGACGAACTTAATCCATCGGCTCGGGTACATACTCATGGAGGACAAGCCTATACCCAAAGCAGCAAACGGAGTTTCACGTGGAAGGTGTATCCGTGATGTCAGGATAATGACCATCAAGATCATGTACGAATGGAATACCATTCTAACTCAAACGAAAAACGCACCTCTATCATCCCTTACAAACTGAGCTCCGTTGATCCCGTTGTCCAATCACAGATTGCATGAAGCAGATTGCTCAACAGGTACACAAAAAGAACGAAACAGTGGGTGACGTTAGGCTTTGTGTAGACAGTTGTAAGAGCGATGGTTAGAATTTCTCATTGAAAGTATTTCTGAAGAGACGATGAAGCAGTGCGTTTTCGTCACACTCATTCGCTACTTATTGTTCTTCATATCTTGTTCACTTCGAGATAAAGTTCTGTAAGTTTTAGTATCTTTCTCATGCAATTCGCCATCACACTCCTAATCACGCGAACGTGATTGAACCGCCTGTCAGGATTCTCGAAACAAATTAGGTAGATATGGAGTAATTGTATCCTCCTTACGAACAGGGATGAATCAGCACTTATCAGTTCTTCAGGCATCAATTACGATTAGATTTGCTAAAGGTAGGGCAGAAAGACCAAACAATTGTGCTCGCGTGATTTGGAGTGAGATTTATCCGTTGCGTACCATTTTCGGTTAATTTAATCGATTTAGGACCTCAAATATGAATGCTAGTGTTTTAGACCAGTTCAGGTGAGTCAGTTCGATGTGTGACTCAGCCTTATGGGCAGGTCTGCCTGATGACTGTTTGAGCGCGTGCTTATGTCTCTCTCTGGTTCCAACTGGGCGTGCCTCACAAGCAACCTGTGCTTCTGGTATTCATGGGAATTTCGGAGCCGCACGCAATTTGGGCGAATTTCCACGTACAACCTGTGGGAACCTGACAGACATTCGATGCACCATGTTCTCTCTGGCCCACAAAATGAGTTGTATGAGAGGGCGCGAGAATTTTTTCATGTTCATATATATATATATATATATATATATATATATATATAATGTTTCCCTGGAGGCTGGGACTGAGTTTGATAAAATACCTCGACATGTTGCCTGTAGATTGTCTGTTTCTCGAGCGGCCATTATTTGATGAAGTCAGCGCACCAGCCCGGTGCTGATATGAGCTGAACAGGCTTGGGCAAATCGTGCTTCCCCAACCCTTTGTCAATTTCCAGCTCAATTGACGCAGTTGTACAGGACGTCCGCGGGCTTCCAGCTTAACCTGAAAGGCCATAGTAAACTGGACGTGTTTGGCCAGGCAGCCAAGCTTTTGTAGAGCAACTCACAGCGTCTTACTGTCAAACATTTGACGTCCACAAACAGTTCACAGAAGGATATCTATTCACCTGCTACACCTATGCATCTGTCCTGCAGCAGCGATTAAAGCAATGTTAATTCGTCAACTTAGCCGTCCTCACTGATCCTGAGGATCCTGTTGCTTGGAAATGCCGATGACATATGTATTGCACTGGTTGTAAAAAAGCTGATCTAGTGTTTTCTGACCACTCTCTTGTGGGTTCGTTTCATCCTGTGGGAAGTGTTTTCCTTTTATTTCATGGAATGTTTCAGATCATTTTGTCTGCTTGCCGGTCTGATTTCTTTCACTGTTGAAAACTCATCAATTTTCATTAAAGATAACTCATCATATACTTTTCTCGTACTGCTCCTTGTTTCGATTTAACTCTTCCAGTTAACTAGTATTTTTTAGTTGTGCCCACATCTTGAGCCCTGCAACGCTCTGACGTGCAGTTGTTGTATGCGAATCTTCGGGCGAATCCGTTGTTGCACTGAGCTCTTTACGGATTTGTCCGCGACAACTTGATCTGAAAGTATGTGGGGCCGCGATAGATTTTTCCGATCTATTTATTTGTCAACTAGTTGTAATCAATTAATCTCATTCACTGATCCTCAGAATTGTGTTGCTTAGAGATACCGGTATCTGACGGATGGAGCTGGACACAATTCAATATGCTTCAAGCCATGCTTGCTTCATAGGTAAGTCTATTATCTTTTAGAGAGGATTATAGTTGCATTATTTCTTAAATTTGTCGTGGCCTGTGTTTAACTCCAATTTTATGAATAATTTATCAGAACGTTCGTTTTGACGTATCGCTCTTTCGAGGAAGAACCTATCTCCGATTAAAAGTTTTATTCTCAGAGTTCTGAAATGCGGTTCACAGCCGCCGCATACAAACCACTTTCGGTAGTTTAACCAAATGACATATATGTATTCGCCTAACATTCTATCTTGCTGAAATCTGTCTCTAGTCTGATTGGGTGTTGCTTTAGGGTAAGAACTTCCAAACTTCCAGAATCCGCTATGTTTGCCAGTATTCCTGCTTTACCGGATGTCCTGTATGATCAGGACGTGGTGAAATTTCAATCCATTGATCTTTCTGGGTCTGAAAGACAGTTTTTTCAGAAAATACTATCAGAGGAATCTTGTGCTGCTCGCTCGGTTTGACCTACCATTCATTTTCTGCTCTGTGTGGTCGTTTTGGAGACGAGGGTCGCGGACTTTTGTACACGTGTAATACTTGGCGAATACCCAACTGAATTGTATTGGATATCAGTGAAACGTCCACATCCTCATCTGTCACCATTCTGTCAATCCGTAGCGTTGCATCTGATTTGACAGCGTTATTATTCTCCAAATTCATTTACATACAGAATACGTAGTTTTATAAAATTTTATTTTTTATTTCCAATTTCAAATCTCTCACAGTGGCGGACTACCCAATACTGAATTGCTTGCGTACGCATGTAGACATCAGCTCGTTTGTTCACCCATCCGCAATCTTCATCCGCCTGCTCGACTTGTTTTGACTCATCATAACTTAATCCCTCGTCACAAGTCTTGATCATGAGATTGACGTCAGGTAGAAAAACTACTCCTCACAATATCATCGGGATCCTACTCCTCTCACCGTTATCTGATGTGAAGACACGGGACTGCGCCCTTCAGTTATTTGGCTTGCTTACGTGCTCTTAACCCCCCGAGCACGTGGGACCCATGTTATTTTGTATGTTTACTCACTTGCTGGTGAGATGGAATTCTCAACCCACTTTTTCCTTATGACATCTGGAGTCGTCTAGCATGCCTGCGACTTGAGATTCTAAATCTGGAACTCAACACATCCCTGTATGCCGCCCACTCTCATTAACGCAGTTCGCCAATTCGCCACCCAAAAATGTATCGATTATGTCACCTCAATGGATGGTGCATCTTCTACAGTGAACCTGTCCAGATCAACGAACAGATTGATATCCACCTGCATGGCCTGAGCTACCAACACTCTCACTGATAGCAAACAGATATATTTTCAAGATTATGGTTGATCATGAACTACCACTAGTAAAGCTGTTAGATGACCAACTTCTGAATAATTGGAGAAATTTCTGATCCATTCGCATGGCGCTACAATTTTCGAAAACTAATCAAAGTGCCCCACGTATGGAATGCAGACATTTTTTGACATTCATCAGCCAATCACTTGGTCATAAGATTAGCAGGACAAAATCTCGCTTTATGATCACATGGCAGTTTCAGCCCTCTGCAAATGCCTGGTAAGTTTCAACAAGAGGGAAAGGTCTCGTGGATCTCAGATGTCCGGCGTCTGATTGGTCCCTCACTATTGCTAACTTGGTAAACATTTTGCCTTAATTTTACTTATTATCATCTTTTCAACAGGAAAAAATAAGTGGTTCACAGAAACAGCAATAACGCTTGTTCTTGGGTAGTTTTCTGGTCTGGGGAAGTTACGTGAGGAATTATAAAGAGCAACAGTGTAAGCAGCAGGCCCATAGATAGGATGACAAAGACGTAGACTGCTGGATTGATCACTGGGATGCTCGAGTCAGTAAAGTATGAACAAATCAATCCAAATAGCCACCATACAACCAGAGTTTTACAATGGTCTTGAGATTGCTTTGCAGCTGTACAGAGCTGACACATTCGACTCCAGCTCATGGCACCGGACAAACCCAGCAAGGCCATGATTGGTGAGAACAAGTAAGGCTGTATGAAAGCTCCAGGGGCAAGCTGAAATAAAGAGCATATGGAGGAAAAGTCACAACGTTTTTGAGTGATGGGCCACCAAAAAGATATTCAAGAGTTCGGAATGTTTTTTTTCTTTCGTATAGCTTTAATACAACCGTTTGGAATCAGAAGGATGATAGAATGCCAGTTAACTCAGGTCTAGACAGAAGTAAGCAAGATATGTAGAAGAGGATTCAAACAAAATATATCCAACTGGGAACGTTGCACCTTCATCACTAGGAAATATGAAGCTGGAGTAGGCAGCAAGGCTCACACCTGCTACTTACAACGTAGCACATTCGCTAGGTTGAACCTGTAGACTTCTATCGAATAACCTGAGAATACGTAGTAGCCGACCTTAATTTGTTTTTTAGATAAATTCTAATCAGTTTCTCATGCTATGGGTATAGGCATTCCCTTAAGTTAAAGACAGTCACTTTAGACTCAAGTTCTACTGTGACCTGTTGGCAAAAATGACTCTTAAAAGGCAGGCTTAAAGTCCTTTTAAGATTTTCACAGCACACCTATCGGCAACCGAATCGATAAAGCTTGCCGGGTGAGTCATACTGCTACTCTAGTTCCATTTAACATGTTATCAGCACATGCCGTACCAGTAGTAGAAGAGCCATTGGTCGTATAGCTTTTTTAACAAAGCAGCTACAGGTACAAAATGTGTTTATGTGAACAAGTTTTCGGACGGCCGAAAGTATAATGCACTGGAAATTCTAATACAGTCCAATGCAAAATCTGTAGATGAACAAAATGCTTCAGGCAAAAGTCTGGAAGCAATATAGCAGGAGTTTAAAGGGTCCGTATCGTTCCGGTCGCACATCTTGAAGGGTGTAGGCTCTTTATTGGTGACAGTTTTCACCAGGTATATGGGGTTTTTATGAATAAGTCTCCATCGCCTTTCTTTCCATACTACTAGAATCTTCCTCCTTGGTTGTTTGGCAGTTAAACATCAGTTTCTGCTACTGATGTTTTAATGTACATGAAGATACTACTGAGGGTAGCAATGAATGTCATTGAATTGATCATCGTCATCAACAGTATGATGATTTGCTGCCGTATCATTAAACTGGAGTACCTGTCCCTTTAGTATGATGAAATGATTATGTGACGGGACACATCAAACAGGGTGACTAAAGTTCAGAACAGATGGAATTCGTTAAATAGCTTTGGATTCATTACTGGGAGGTTTTGCCCCAAGTAAGTTGCGGTCCTATCGGAGAGAAACCGTCCTGCCGGTGGTCGGTTTTGGTTTGGCTTATTTGTGTTGCTTCTGTGAGGATGTCATTGAATCAATCTTTTTTGACCTGAGAAATATGCCTTACTGTACATCTGGGCATACAGAAAAACATAGCATGCTTTGATGCTTGTGCTTGTCTGAGTAAAACAAAGACTGAGCTTTAGATCCATGGTTATCACTTCACGCATCTGGCATTACCTGGATACTGCTACTACCTTCAAAAAGATGAATCGAAGTTTTTGTTAAGGAAACTACTTACAAGCTTGCTGAAAATTTTCGACAGCCTCACGACCGGTTTCGCCCTTCTTGGGGTTCATCAGGCAGGCGCACGCCTGAAGTTCTCGTCGACTTATGCTCTACATGAACTCAAATGGGACTAATCTCGACAAATATACTCATCATCGTATCATAAACAAAAGATTAAGTTGGGTGTCCCGTGAAAATCAAAGTGATATGCAAATGTGTGTATTTACAAATCAAGGTTGTCGCACTGGGTAGCTTTCCGGGAGCGTCCGTCAGAGGGGTAGATACCTGTGGATTATGTTGGTTATTCTGGAGCCAATTTAGTGTTACTATGCATTGTTTTCATGTATTCTACTTCTGTGGATTTCACTCAGGATATCATAGCATCTGGTACAGGACTGATCTTGTCTAGTCAGGTGTGTAGGTATGGTAAAACCCTAGAAAAAATTATCTTCACTAAGATAAGCCTTGCTAATTCCAAGATATTGGAAAGCAAGACTTTCTATCATATTTAAATTACTTTTGGTGAATGCAAACTCTTATATCTAGTTGTTTGAGTGCTTTTAAGAAGGGCACTACCAAAAATGACGCCCTCACGTTCTTCGAGCGGAGTATCATTTCCCAAGAGCTATGTGTACAAAAATTGAACACATATTGGTCACCGTTCATTCCGAGCGGCACAAGAACCCGAAGACCTTGTATTATCCTGCTTCATCAACAATCCTTAAAAATTGATACAAATCAGAATAAATGACACGAGTTGACGTTTTGCTTGCCTGTATTGATCTGACCGCAAGAAATTTTAACAAACATGATCAAAACCCCAGAGCTCTGTTGCAATCACACGAAACGTTTTGCTTTACCGGTTTAGTACTGTCGATCAGTAAAGCGCCCAAACTTTTCCGTTACATGCGTGTCATATATAACCTAGAGTATCCTCTGGAGGTACCCGTTGAAAAAAATTGGCAAACGTAATTGTTCCTAGGAGGCAAGCCACTCTAGGGCAGTCGTGATCGACTACGACATCAACATAGGCAGTCTCCCTTTGGATGCAATATGTAACAATGTTGTTTTCTGCAGGGGAGGACAAACGTAACACCAAAATTTCATTAGGACGCACAAAACATGTTCCTCTGAATTACCTGTTGGAGATAATTGTGATTAGGAATCCTGAATGGGTCTTGTAAATTTGTGTGATAACTTCAGATATAACTTTAATTTGAGGGTCTGTTTTCCACTGGCTTCTAAAAGCTGTAGCTGAAACCAACATCGATATATTTGACAATGCTCACGAATCTTCTAAACTACCACTCAAACAACATTTGACCACTATATTTTCGAAAGCAACTGATGATGATAGGAAAGGGATGTTTGGACTCCCTTGCCGATAGCGCCTCTCTGCAAGGTTCACAACACAGGTTGTAACCATGCAAAAAATTCTATGAAATCCCGAGTTGGGTAACATCTATTAAGTTGTGTACGAAGTTGTGTAGTTTTGAAGGTATTTTTCTTTGGTGTTTTGAGCTCTTACTGTGATGAGGTCTGACTAAGGAGCGATTTAACTGGTCAAGTAAACAGCCGAATAAACATCCACAAGAAGCCATATTATGTGAATATCTAGGATGTGGTAGACCAGCACCAAGTCCCTTCCCTATTTAATTTTACTCTTTTCTTCACAAAAATGCTTCCAAATACATCATGTTTGTACGGCAGCAAAGCATCACTTATGTCTTGCTGTCCACATTGATGAAGATATAATCTCTTTTGAATGATAAAATTTCCACATAAATTGTATGCGTCGTTATGCGGTCCCCTGGAAAATCTTGCACTATTCTTTGCACCAAGCTGATTTCAAGATAAGCTCCAGAAAAGCACCCTCCTTAAAGAGTTGATGAGACTAGGGGTGTTATTTCTGTCTTTGATTTTTGGATGTAATTGTGGTCTTCCTTAGGCACTACCTACGTATATTATCTCTGGAGCGGACACAGTGTACTACAAGTGACTCCGCTTGAAAAAATCACCTACAATAACTGCCAAAAAGGTTTATTCTATCCTGGAAGGAAACTGGTTATTGGAATAACTCGGCTGACTGGCATATGATCACTGAGGTAAGAACTATCCTAATGGCACCAGTCTGGCACCGGACTGAAATGGCTTAGATTTGGACAGACGTATTCTCAAAAGAGAGCATTCAATAAGAAATTGCGATCAATATTCTATTTGAGGCGTAAAGTCCTAAAATTCCGCAATGGGCTTGTCCACAATTCTCTCGTTTACTTAATGAAATGATAATAATGAAATCTGTCCACACCAATAAAGCGTAATCCAGGAGAACCTAGCCTGGTAACCTTGGAATCCTCATATGTGAATCTGAAATGCACGAGTAAGTATGATAAATTTTCACAAACTGTGATGAACTTTTACGTAAACTTGCTAAATGGAAGAGCTGCATCCCAAATAGATGGCGATTACAAAATCCCGAATGAGTTTGGGTTTAGTAGGAAGGAACACAAAACCGAGTATATCACTCTATCTAGCGCATAAGCAAAGCTACAAAATCACACTAAATAAGTCTGCAGTTGGTGCTACCCGAAGGACACCCCATCAGGATTAAGTGGACTTTCTTCAGAAAAAACAACCACTTGGCTCCTCATCGCATAAGTAGAACGGAACGTATTTTTGTTTCTTCCGAGAAAACCCTGGACCAAAACCTTTTCAAAGAGTTCGAGACGGCGGAAGTGGAAGTTGACTAATAAAGCGGAACTTCATCCTCATTCATCTTTCCCCATATTTGGCTGTACCACTTTAGAAGGAAACTACTGGGTAGTAGCTGGGGATGAAGATTTAAATTGACTGGTACAGACAGAGTGAGCTGTTTTGTCCATGGCAATTTCAGTTGGTTAAGGGTTCGCCATGGAAGATTTAATGGTCGGAAAGTGCAATACTTGATATCTAGCTGCCCTCACCGTTTTCAATATTTTTATAGAAAAAGGACATGCAACACATGCTTGAAAAACAAGGGTCCCCCACTTTATATTCGAAACAGCGATCGAACTTAAGAGCATGTAAGACTCAGTTTTTCAGAACACTACTTTCTCATCATCTAAATCAAGAGGGCTTGTTTCTACCCTCAGATCGCACATTGTTAACTTAGCTGGAGTTGTACGTATGAGTGACGCAGTGCTCTTTGCGTAATGAGAATAACAAAACAATTAAAGCGAACACTTACTTTAATTCTGATAAGCAGAAGGCTAAGGGCTCCTGTAAACACCAAACCAGGAATCGTTCTGCTCGTTCCTTGCCGGGTGGTCCGTAGGGTGGCAAAAATAATCGTAAATAATAGGGCTGATAAGCAGAAGACAAAGAACGCTTCCACAATTGCTGAAGAATAGCTCATGCAGATGACGGCCGTAAATTGGAACAGAAAAATTCCCATGAGTGAGTTCAGGCAGACTTCAACAAGTTTGGTGCCAGTCGATTCACCAACCTGTAAGGAACAGCATTTGGGTTTTATTGAGGCCAGTTTATCCGTGCATAGTAGTTTCCTCATAAAGTCCTAAATAAAGGCAACAAAGTCGTATTTGTAACAGTTATGTGCCCTAAATTTGGATTATATTATCAGGCACAATACGCTGGTGAAACACATTTCCTGGTTGCAAAAGCCTCACTGCAACAAATTCAAACAAGAAAAAAAGAACAAAACAGACATAAAAAAATCACAACGTTTCTGGAATTTATGGCACGCGGAAATTAAAAGACCGACACCCAATATTTTCCTTTACTCGGTCACCCTGTGAGATGAAAAATGATTGAGTTAACACATGTTTGCATGAAACGCAATAAAGCGCGATAAATAATTGCTATGGTGATTACAGCACCAACGAACCAAGGGATGTTACGTGAGACTTATACATTACGAAATTGGTTTGTAATTTCCAGTCAGAGCATTAGATAGCCCTTTCGCTGATTTATCGAAATATTGGTAGCTCCGCAAACACCGCTATAACACAGTTGAATGGAAAAACTCGTACACAAGGTTTTTCAAAGAAGTAAATACATTTTATTTGGCTCAGAAGCACTAATGCACTAAAACAAAGAGCAGTTAAACGAATCATAGTGTTGAAACGCCTAAAAGGCATTCAAGACGGCATAATCTGACAAACGCCTGAAAACCGGAGAATACTTTGCGCGTGCGATATCAAAATCAACGTTGGAGAACTATGTCACGCACAAGACCGAATTCAAGAGTTGTGACGAAATTCACACAGGACAAACGGTAAAGAAGCTGTTTAATGGAGTACATGAACACAGGCATACTTCTGAAAGAAAAGCCCGATTTTCTCTATTCTCCGTGCACAAGGATACGAGAAGACACAAGTTCGCCTGGAAGGGTTTTCACATACTGGCTGAAGCAACAATGAGTAAAGAACATGAATTTACGAAAGCATTTTGCTCGACCTAAGACGTCACCAACAACCATTAGAAATGACCCGCTCTGTCAATCAACATAAACAAGAGAGCGCCGGGAAAACAGAGTTCAAAACTGCAAAAGAAATCAGATCAGAAGCTCCCAGGTGAAACAGGAAAGATCAAGTAAACGAGCAAATCAATTTTACTGGAATATGCACTAAAAATAAGTCAAGAGACCATATTGAGGGCATTTAGATAACCGGCTGGATACCAGAACGCCAGAGCAAGCAGGATAACATAAAAAGGCAATAGATCACGTAGTAGACCAACGCAATACGTTCGAAATTATAAAAAAATATCCAAAGTAGAAAGTTTCATGATATGCTATTACTTTGAAGAACGAAAGTGTACGACATCATACGAAGTGTAAACGGACCAAAGAACCTACAGAAAGCAATCTCTAAGGTAACCCATCATGTCAGAAGCTAGCAGATACTTATCATAATCTACATAACTCAAAGTAGGCAGGAAGAATAGGCCCAGCGAAGGATTGATGGTTTCGACGTTTGCTGATAAGAGTTTGCGGCTAATTTCCAAGCTCAGAAAACATTTCAACAGTCACCTGATCAACAACCAAGATCCATGTTTTATATTTTATCCCGCTCTCTCGCTGGGTGGTTTTAAAGCTTTTTGGTTCATCGTTTTCTCAGTCTGTACATACAGAGATATGTTCTGCTAAACGTCCATGCCTGAACTTTAGGCTTAGAAAATAGGGGGCTCATATTGTGAAAGAAAGTTTTGAGTCGTACCTCTCAGTGGAGCTCTCATGAAAGGCTACTGTAGTTAACAGAGTACACTCCTTGTCCCCTGTTGGTCAAGATTTATTGTGCAACCAATCCAAAGAAAGACCAAGGGAACTTGCCGCTCTATCTTCAGAAAAAATAATACACATAAAATTGTACTCAATAAGATAGGTGGGTCTAGCTTACTGATACCAGTTGATGAATATCAGGCTTGCTTGTTAGCGCCACATATTTCTTTATTACAATAGCTTAAACATGTTAATAGCATGTTTGACATAGAAGTGTTCTGTTAGTTTTCCTCAGAATTTCCGTCTTGATGTACACATCCAGTTGTTTCAAATGAGAGAACGGTAGATGGGTTGGCAGAAAATTTTATTAAAATCAATAATTCTTGCATACAAACACCTGCTTCTACACCTATCGGAATGCAATCACGTGTGTCACCGACCTGTTTGTTAGGGTATTCTACAATGTAAAGTAACAATTAAAGGCTAACTCATAAGAAAATTCCACAAATATCCCATCGCGCTGAAAAATCGCCACATCTCCAATCATGAGTGGAAGTGCTTTGTGCCCAATACACTGAGTGCCGCTCAGGCTCACCACAAAGATTCCCATGAGCTATTCGGTCGACATCCAAATCGACACGTTATCGGACCGTATCGGGTATGTAAGAGCATTTACTAACTACCAAAACAGTGGGAGCAGGTTCACGCAGATTACAACGGATAAAGACAAGCAGGTAAGAGAATTTCTCATTCATGCTACTGTTGTTGTACGAAAGATTTCAGTAAGTCACGTGCTAAAATTAGGGCTTGCAAAGAAAGGACAAAATCTCCCTCGCACAACACGTTTCTATAATCATGTTTCGTAGCTTCATCTCCATGAATTTCGCATTTTCAATTTTCAAGACACTGGTGTCATTATGCAGAATCCGGAATTAGCGGTCCCAACAAGTTCAGTGGATTGCTTTTTAAGCTTACGTTTGAACCCTATGGTCTCAAATCTATCTAAGAACATCATATACTAGGTTGCGCCCCTAGCCTTGAAACGTTGTTCTTACTTGATGTTACAACGATGTGGGCGAAACACCATGCTCAACAGCACATTTTGTCGTAAGACCCTGATTTTATCTCGTACATTTCTAATGACCTTGTAATGCTACTCATTACCACAGAGTCGTCATTTCAAACCCACTGATCTTACTTTGACTACCTCGATATGGCATGATTCAATGGTTGCTGAAAGCAGAACTGGTCACTTTAGGATGACAGCAGCATTGCATTAATCACATTGTTTCGGACAGTGTTTCAGGTATAATCATTCTGTTCGGATTGACATCTACATGGACGCCAAATTCAACGGAACATTCGAAAAAAATAACAACTAAATCTACTTTAGTGCACTGAAGATCATAAAGCTCACCTTTGATCCACACAATTTGGGGACGTTCCTGGGTGCATCTGTGCTGAATGGAATGCAGACTGTAGCCACAGCAGTCGAGATCAGACCAAGTATAAAACAAATATCCGTAAACCTCTGACTATTCAGAATTGTACACAGGAGGAAGACACCCATCATCATTCCAATCAAAACAAAACCGGAAAGCTCGTCACAATGCGGCCGTGGAAGCTTCATTGCGTGCGAGGATAAAATCATTGAGACCAGGCCAAGGGCAACGCCTTCGAAGAAAAAGGACCCGTACATCAACTGCCATGAACTGATTTGCGTGGCCAAAGTCACGATTAACCAGGAGACTGCAGTGAATATTTGGAAGCATACTACTGTCCACCTGAGATTGATTTGTCTGAATCGACACCCAACTAACGTGCCAAGTAATCCACCACAGGCAATACAGCTGTTATTGTACTTTGACCCGAAGACGATGAACATCCAGCTTGCTGATGAGTAGACCAGAAAAATACCTGAAAACAAAGTAGGAGTGTCAATACACCAACGTGTATTCACAAAAACATGCATGTAGGCAGTACTTTGTTTCTATGTTTGGTATGATATGGATAAGAACAAACCATTCTGTCACACCATACCTGAGTTTCCATGCAGAAAAGAAGCATGTTGCCCGTTGTTATGAGGCAGTTCTTTCACTTGGATCTAACTGACTTTTGTCGAGTAAAATTTTCTGTTTCAACCACGTTCCAGTGAATTCCTCAGACAATCCAAAACGTGGGGCCTGTAGCCCACCGAACAGCCTCGTAAGACTACCCCATATCTTATGAAAAAATGAGCATGCTAAAATATGGGGACGGTTTAGCCACAATGGATTTTTGTCTTCAAATTCATTGCAGAACTGAATGATCCGAGAACATTTTATGATACAACACGGAAAATGAATTGACCACTTTGCGTACGCTTCCGGCTCCAGGAAGAGAAAGTCTGTAAGCTGCTGACGGAACTCAGGGCGTCACTCAGCTGTGTGTCTCAGAGAGTTCTTTTCTTCGGTTTCGACGCTAAAGGAGTTTTAAATACAACCAAAACAAATTTGAGAGGGTGATCCAAAGCCTACCGTACAAGGCATGGCATGACATGCTAAAAATAGTTCCACGTTGAAGAACTACGTATCAAATTACTGAAAACATTTCGACAGCCCAAATCATCTTTATCCATAATGCAGCTCCTCAATGATTCTCACTTTTATCAACCTTGTATTCTGTGTCAACATCAGATTTTATATATCTTGTGAAGTAAGCTCATTTGCAAACCAAGTATGTGCCAATATGAGATCCAACTTAGTCCTAGCCGATTCTCACTTTTATAATATTCTTCAGCTGAATATGCAGCACATTTATATAACATGGCTGCCATAGGGGCAGTACAAACCGCCGAGTATATCCTATCTAAGAAACCAAGAAGATGGCTCCTCAAATTTACTTGGAGGCCATCCCCCCTCCTGAAAACGTCTATAACTGTACTAAGCAGACTTATAATTATTTCGCGTGACATTTTTCCCACGGTCTTTTCATCAGTGTGTATAAGCACAATCCCAACTGGCACTACAGTAAGGAACAAGTGCTTCGGAGATCATCTAAAGGTCATGTCAGTGCCAAATTCGAAAGGTTACGTTTGTATCTGTATGTATCGTAATTCTTCACTCCGAAAGTATTCTACCAAGGTATACCACTTGGATAGGCAAACCGAAACTGACAATAATGTAGGAGTTCTTACATAAGATCGTTTCGTAACAGTTAGTGTAGATTCAGGAAGATCAATAAAAAGCGAATTCATTGAGGATGGCAGGAGGCGATGGCGACAAATATATTTATCATTCTCAATAACTTTTGAAATGCTAATACGCCGTTACAGTCCTTGTCAAAAATTATCTTTTTCAACACTTTGATCCATCGAAACTGAATGAACGTACCTGGAGAAATCGACAAAAACCAGCACATACTCAGAGTTCTTTTCGTGGGATATGCTTGATGTGGACATGCTGAAAGTTGAGTGTTACCCTCCAACTGAAGCCCATATGAAAGGCTTTTTTCTGTCATTGGTCGTTTGCGGAAAGAATTGAAGGGATTTTGATATTGTAGTACCTAAAATAAATAATACAAACTACAGTAGACAAATTATTCTATTTTAATATAGTTGGCTATCATGTGATGGATACTGGCTTTCAGATGAAGTGAAATTTGGGTTCCGAGATTTATGTCGCCAGAATAGTTTCACACACTTTTCTTCACGATACACACAGGCACTCAGCCAACGGAAATCCATGGGGTCGCGTATTCGCAAGCAGTTTCGAAGTGATTTCAATCGCACACCCATTATTACCTCTTCAGTAGAGATGCAGTGTTTCCCTATCACATCAGATAAAGATCACTTTTAAGTATACTCCGTGCAACGTATCTCAATGAGCCAAACATGTGCTTCAATCGATCGTCCTAAAATGGATAACCAAGTCCATCGTCCTTGTACCACCGAACTGGTAACAGGACACCAATATGCAAACAAAGTTTAGAGTGTGTAAACTGTAAAGTCCAGGTAAGATCAGTTTCTTTGCCAGCGCGGAATAGACTCTCCTTGACTCTTGGATCAATAGCTTAAAACACCTGGCTACACCTGTTTTCGTTATCTGTCAACGGATTTTTAAGCATAGTCCTCATCAGCTTTTCATACTAGACTAGTTTTGGTTACAGGGAAAAATCTCAACCGAAAAATTCGAATTGACGGTTTTGGCCACAAAACGTCTCCGTAGAGTTTGAGCCTAAGAAAGTCAGTGTACTGTCGGCACAATGTTGCAAAGAAATAACACAATAAATTAGGCGACCCCCTCTATGCCACAAAAGTATGGGATTCCTTAAACAACTGAAGGATAGGAGGTGATTCTCGTCCCTCCATATTCTGACGTGCAGTGAATAAAGGCTAAAAAACCGCCCGCCGCATTGAAGTTCAAGACATAGCGTATTAAGTAACTCTCACCTTAAATAACCCTTAAAACAGAAGTCACTGAAGCAGAGCACATACTACAACCCTGGGAATAGGAAAGGTCGAGCAGCCCGGGGGTCCATAGGTCCCTATGTATATAACCTGATGCCACGCCCTAAATTTTTTCGGTTGGATACACCAAATAATTGATAAATTTACCCAGTTTTACTCGGGGTACAATGACGCACCGGAGTGGTTAGCGTCAACGCAGTCAGCCTCTAGTATCTAACAACGCTAAAATGGGGTGTCATGGTCTGTGATTTTCGGAAGTAACTACATAATGTTTTACCTTCAATTTTCGCAAGCGATAAATCGGTGACCATGTCTTTATAAATGGCGGACTTCCAAATTTTTGGAACCAACCGACGCTCAGAAATGACTGCTTAAGTTCTCAGGCATTCTTGCTAAACGTCGGTGTGTTACGGAGACCCAATTCCTATTCAACCTTCTAGTTACCTGTGATTGGGAATATTTGAATAGTGGTAATAAGTCGAGAGCGTTCTTAGTTGGCCCAATATCTAGAAGTAACAGAAAACGCTTTTAGCTCTCCTCATAGATACAAGAGGCCTTCTTACCTTTAAATACGAGAGGAAAGGCTTATAGGTTTTTGGGACTTCGGGACATTTCTGCATAAAGTTTTGCCTATTTTGTCATAGGAGTGTGAATGAACACAAGAAGATACCTTCTGCACATTCCGAGCTAGAAGTGGACAGCACTAACAGTATTTCCTGTCCGGTTATGGCATAATTCGTCTAATGAGAAACAGTCTGCAGTTGTCAAAGATCCTGGATCTGTGTGATCCTTTATCTGTCCCCCCTTCTTAGTTGGTCAGTCGAAACTCTGGCGTTTGCTAAGGGTTCATGCAGGTACCCGTTAGCTATCTTTTTGGAACTCAGGGAAAAGACAAAAATTAATTAGTCTATAACTGGCTGCGCTGGATGTGGTGACGTTATTCTTTGATTACTCTTGGACACTAGCCGTGCTTTACGGATTCTGAAAGAATTTTGATAGTGGTATTGCAAACTCGCTAACCAGTAGAATAAAGCTCGCAACGGTATGATACCAGATGGTTCTGAGTTTTTTAACTGCCACAGCGGCGAATGAAATGTCTTGTAGGCCGCGTTAACAGATGAGGTTGTAAAATAGGGGTCACCTTCTGAATGATGGTCTTGGGCTGAGCGCCTAATAAGTGGTGGACACATTTATCATCTACTATGAGTGAATTTTATATTGCTGGGCGACATTGTATTGGTTACTTCCTTACTAACGCTTGCAGTTTGGTAAGGTATCTACAGAGAAGTTCTGAATTTCTAAGGAATAAAGCAGCTAATGTGACCTTTAACTTTTCTTGTCAACCCGAATTAGTAAGGATTACGGGTTTACTACTTGCTGATACCAAGATTGGTCGTCACCCATTCTCTTCGAAGATGAGGGAATTTTCGTCACAAGTACGTTGTCACTTTGTAGTAACTACTGGATGTATTAACGTCCAGTGCGGGCATGCTGTGAGTTGGTCACTCTGGTTTGGTGTCTGACTTCTAACACTCGGTAAATGACTGCAGACCATTTATCACTTTCAAGTTAGGCGCATTCCCGCCTTGGCATTTAATTCTTATTATCCGGGGAACATTGAAAACGTCCTTGAGGGTCCTGCAACTCATGCTAGGTGAAATACTTGCAGCAAAAGACCAACCTCGCAAATAAAACAAAAGATCACTTTAGTTACCATGAGCACGTTGACGTGTATAGAGTCAGGCTTCCTTGTTGGTCTTGAGCGGGACGATCCTGTGTGAGTTTTATTTGTTGATGCCAGTTCTTCCATTTGGAGTCTTCCTCAGCTATTTCTGTCAGCGGGTGATGGGACTATTTGTTTTGTTACGTTACGACAAACAATGACAACTGTCAGCCAAAAGTCCTGCTTGGTGTTCAAAGAGGTTGACAAACACCATGAGGTGATATTCTGTCCACTAAACACGCGAAAATTAGGATATTCTTATAAATAAATTTACAGTATGGCTTGGCTTACCGGCTTTGAATTGCATTACTCTGATCTGCTGCCTGCAGGTGGTTTTGATCTATGTCGCTCTGGGGACATTGTTTCGGCTTATTGATGTGTCCGTGTCTGTATCTGGCTGATGTAAGTCCGTAACCGATTAGTTGTTCTTTGGATTGTGGAGCTAGTGCAGAGGTAATTCGCAGTTATCTTCAGCAAGTGCGGTCACATACTTATTTCGCATTAGCTTTTCGCTTAATTCCCCATCTGACAGATCATAAATGGAAGTTTTCAGAGCACTACAATCATCCTACAAAAGATATTGATGTAATACGTTCCAGAATTTGAGCAGTTAGACTGACGTGAAAACTTTATGAGTGGGTTTGTATTTCAACAGCTTTCATGGTATATTTTAAGGTATACCACCGTCGAATAACAGTTTCACACAACCCGCATAAAAGCACCTTGGATAGGTAAACTATATTGACAGGTGTAAGTTTCTTCCTACATGTGCGGGTCCGAACATTTTTTCAAAGTTTTTAAAATGAGTAAATAAGTGGTTTGTTTAAGAGTTACATATTCACACTGAAACAGGACAACAATGAATTTCAAGTTGACACAGTTAAGCTTCATTCTAATAGAGAATAACTGCAGTGGTAATGCTGTGAGGTGAACTGTCGTAGATAATAACTGTTAGTATGTCAGGACCATGTCAAATCTAAATCTTATGCAGTGAACGGAACAAGCTTCAATGCTCGAACTCGTAGTACATGGACTGGAGGTCTTACTTTTAGCTCCATACCCCTACACCGCATTCAAAAAGTGTCTGAATAAATACCTTTATAGTAGTGCTGATGAGGTTGATTGTTAGTTTATATAGGGGGAATTTTAGTGACTAGGGTCCTTGGCAAAAGCGAAAGGCAGTTGACTGAACTCACAGAGCCATCCAAACCCAATAATCTTTCTCTACAGCTACAGCCCCATGACCATAAAAGCCTTACGAGTATCATGTAGCATTTCTGATGGCAGTGGTTTAGTTTGTTCTGGATAACTAGATAGCGCCTTTTGTAAACCCTATGGTTTACTATCTCAAGAGCAAGTTGCAACAATCCCAGTTAAGATGGTCAGAAAACTGTACACCATATTTTATATCTTTGGTAAATTGTAAAACGGATGACCACAGATATACATAGGGTAAAAATAGTACAAAAACAGAAGTCTGACTGGTCCAAAACTGGTTGAGAAAACGTGCTACTTACCGGCTGCCTACATATTCATGCAAGCACTTACAAACGCTGTATTCGCATTTTTTCTGCGATAGGACTTGGAACTGAATTCTGCCAAAAGCTTAAGAGAATTTAGTGTGTTTAGCACCAGCATAGTAACCACTGTTCACCGCTTTGTTTCACATTTTCAGACTGCTTATTAGTTGGTGAGACAACGACGATGGCGATTAATTAATGTTGCACACTGATTAATATGTGCATGCGTAGTGTGTTTCGAGGTAATTCGCTGCAATGCACCTCATTTTTTAAAGTAGAAGTAGTGAGGCAACGAGGTAAAATGAAATGAGTCTTTTTGTTTGCACTCTAGAACACAGAGCTGGTAACTACTACTTTTATAGCCCCAAACACATCTCTAACTGGAAAGTTTTGAGCAATAAGCCAAAACCAATTGGGTCAATAGGTTTTTGAAATAAAACAGCAAGTTGGGAAGTAGTGAAATATATGATCCAAAGATACCTGGATTCCAGATGATAAATAACAGTCGAAGAAGGCGTAGGAAGAATCGGACCGTAGAGGATTTATAATATATCCGCAGTTTCTTCTATGGATTGAGCAAAGCTACTTGATATTTATAAAAATTGGATATAGCACAAAATTCTCATTAGTCAAATATCATGCTTACAAGACCATAATGAGCCAACCGAAAAACTTAATTCCGCTTTCAAGAGATACTGAGTTGTTTCCATTGTTCCTCAATTCCCAGGATTCGGAGTGGGATGAATGATGAGGTTACTTGCTGGATACCGTCAAAATGGGTCTTATCGGGTTTCAATTCATCTGACATTTGCTCTGTTCTACTCTCATAGCCTTGATTATATGCATAAAATGTCTGTTATACTTCTTGCTTTCTATTTTGGAGTGATACACTGGAGGCTGCCTATCCACCGAGCTTCTAGTTTGTAAATGTAACTTATAACAAGAAACCACAATATGCGATCTGTATAGATGGAGACAAATGCAGCAACCTTGGACATCTCTTATGTTCGTTGATCTTTAGCAGCTAAAGCAATTAAAACTATTTTGCCTGCATTCAGCTGTACAGAGCTTCATTGCATAACGGCGTTGCTCGTGGGTCAGCTCCCGTATTCCGTTTGAAAGTCGGATAACAAGTTGTGTAGTTTTTAGTGTTTCTCGACTTCTATTGTAGGAATGCCTCAAAAAAATCTATTTTGATAACAAGTTATTATGTGTGCTAAAACCTTGTTTTCTCAGTTTCAGCCTTTTAGTGATAACAAACCAAACAATTTGATCTCATACAGATTCTGGCTCATTTGGCTCCATATAACGGAATGGTTCAGCTGCCTCCTTAAAGTCATTTGACACCCCGGTTCTGGTTTTCTTGAAAAGTCTGATTAATACATCATTAAAAATAATAACACATTTCGTTTGGGTGCAGTACCCACAAACACTCCCTGTTTACGAATGAGGTTCAATTTTTGCGAGATTAGCAGCTTAGGATCCCTGGATAAAATGTTATGCCATATTTATGTAAACTCCATTTATCTCGATGGTGCAATGTGTGTGTTTTAAGATTGTTCTTCTTAGACAATCCTAGATCCACTGCCGTTTGCACTACTGAAAAAGTCTGCTTTTTGATGCAATAGTTATCTGGTATTCCAAAAACCAACCGCCATGAAGCAAGAATTCGTAGCATTCTCAAAATCACTTGACTAGCATGTTGAAACTTTATTGCGTTTTCCTCCTGCTACTAGCGGAAATTTTCACTTTCTCCAAATAACTTTATATCGTCTGCGGATAATATAACGCTTGAGTGATGGCAATTGTGAAACTTTTCTGAACGGATTTGGCAGAAAACTGTCCCTTGTGGTACCAAAAAAGGCCTAACCTTGATCCTCAAAAGGTGATGCTAACCTTCAGTTCTCAACCCCGTCTAATAGCGAAGGTTTCCATTCACATGTGAAACAGTCCCTGGATTTCCGTCTACTGGGGCACATGTAATATTGTCGTTTGGTTTATCTGATCAGATTATTTTAAAGTCAGTAAACACTTTGTGTATAAAGTTAAAACGATCGTACGTCAAAAGTTGGGGACCTGTGGAAGATTCGAAACGCTGAACATCCATTCAAGAACCCATACTCAGTTCAAACAGGTATTGCACGTTTGAACAGAGAAGCTTCCATTGTTTTTTCTTTGCTCAGCACAGAGACATACGGAACACAGGCATACATAAGCTACTGGCCATGTAGTCGCTGGCATCATTCTGAAAGTGTTTTGAATAAAACCATATCTCAGATTTCTAAACCTTTCGTTTTTAATGACCAGTTGTATTTATACTAGAGGTGCTTAAGCGGTGGAAGTTGGGCCTTTAATTGAAATTCATTTGTAAGTCATTCATATTCTCCTTTAATTATTGCATTTAAGATCTACCAAACACAGTCGAAGGGAAGGCGTGTTGGCCTGCTACTTGCCATTGGCGATGACGTCTAACTCTCGGTTCGCAATCTCCTAAGTTTGGTCTTTCTTTCTTTGCAAATTCAAAATCTCTTTGAAGATTCCGATGCATCCCAATAAGTTAATAGAGTTATTCATTGTGTACCTGTTTCGTAGCAACCATCATCTCTTTGAATAAATTCCCAACCTGTGTCTACTTGCTGGATTTATATAGACTCCCGCTTAATTTTTTTCGTTGCCTGTTTTATGCTGAAATATTTGACCCGATGTTTAGGTGCGCCAATGAAACTCAAAAGTCTTCGCCACTTGGGGTACATGCATCTTGGTCAACACCAAAGGACTCCGAAATATTTGCCTCCGCGCATACGTAACCACAAGCTCACCAAGAATTTCTCGCTGTTTATTTGCATGCAAACTGCACCCGTGCAACAAATACCTTATTTTTTAATGTATGGCTTTGCCCCGTTGTTGTGTGACGCTTTAGGTATCACTTATTTGTCTCAACAACACTAGCTGCATATATATGAAATGTATACATTTTAGAACCGTGTAAGGCGACGGGAATCACATTTTAAAAACGTGGAACCTTAGGCAAAGACGAAGCGCAAATAGAACAAACACATGAAAACGCTGTTGCAACGCACACAAGCCACCGTAACGTTACACTTGTTATTAAAATCATACGGAGGCTTCCATGAAATCCTTAAAGATCACAAAAGATGTCAAAAAGTTGCGATAACATCAATAACATAGGATGCACATTAACCGAAAATACCATTTTCAATCCTAACTTCGATCTCTCCCTTTACACTGAAACGACGCGGAGAAAGCACAGCAAACATCGTGCTAACTGAGTTGCAATTTAAATCCGCGCTATTTGTCTCGGACGTTTGGCTACGGAGGTCAGCAAGTTCAGTTCACAATCTAGCCAATACGAAGGAATAGCGCTGGATTTAGCAATATAATACTAATCCCAAAGATTGACGAAGACACTGTAATCACCAAAACTGGAAGCGCACAAGCACGACAAAGAGGGCTTCCCTGTATTGATACCATGGCTGTGTAGAACGATTAATTCTGGTAGCAAAGCATATCTATGTATCCATTTTCCGTTGAAGCAAAAACGGTGTTGAATTGCTTCTACAAAAACTGCCTCTATCTTTTCATTAGAAAACGGGAGATGCTGAAATATAGAAAAAACCGGAGTCCGACTGCTTCTGCAAAAGCCAAGATCCTGTATATCAATCCCTGAA